CATAATATTCAGATACTCGCCAAATCGTATCTACGCCTCTATTCAAGCCTTGAAAACGACGTAGCGCGAGAATTCTGTCTTCTAGCGACAAACTCGCCGTTTCCGCCCCTAACACTACACATCTCTGGAAGATAAAATGGTCGACAATTTTCTGGATTCAGTATGTAAGGATTTTTCATCCAAAATCGATCAGAATATTTCAAAAGAACCTATTAGTTAAACACAAAATACCGTTTCTTCTAAAGTAAAAATTTCCTATAATCAAAAGGTTGAACAAGGTTTAATATATGAGTTATTTACATTTACTAATGAGAAAAGCCTTTCAAATTCCATATCTAATAAACAAATTCTTAAAAATATGCTAGATGGCGATAATTCAGCACTGAGTTCTGCATTACATTTGGCCTATTTATTCGACAAGGCTAAAAAAACTAGTTAAAAAGAAATTTTACGTTGGTATCATTATAGTGAGGAATTCGAAAAAAAGGTTAGAGACATTAGCTTAAAAAGCAAACTTAATAATCAAATGGCAAGAACACAGATTTATAATGAAATAGAACCATTTCTTCCTGGCATCAAAAGAGAGTATTTGCGTAAGAAAACTCAAAAAGCCAGAAATATTTATACATTATTTAAAGAAATAGGAATAGATAAAATCAAACAAGTTACATATAGTGCTGATGCTATTTCTAGGCTAACGGATACACAAGTCCAAAATATAATAAAAGTGATCAGTGTGAACAATGTTCATGTACACGTGACCAAGCCATCTAGCTCAAAAGACATATCAAATATTGAGGTAAGTGCATCACCCACTCTAAACCTCTTTCCATTAAAGAAAATGCTGTCAAAAAAAATGCATAATCAAGTTATTAATAAATTAACTACACATTTTATCAATTCACCAAAGTTGGATAAAAATAATAGCATAGATACAGAAGGTGAGCATCAAACTGATTCTTATTGGGTTTTAGGTTCACATTGTCCACTATGTAGAGAAAATCATATGAGTTTATATAGTAAGTGGTGGCTAAATAGTCGAAGTAAAAATACATATTATTTACATTGCACTAATTTAAGAGAGCCAGGAATTCCACTTGATGATGTACTAAAAGCATATTCAGGTAATTCAAAACAGATTCAGGAGTTAAAAACTCGATGCTTCACATTATCTATTCCTTGGAATAATGCTTTAATCTTACCAGATAAAAGTATAATAGTGGAAGCATAGACACTGCATGACCTTTCTATAACAAGAAATCATGATTAATGATAATATATACTTCGTCAAGTCAATAAAGAGTTAGATCGTCAAACCACAACACTAAGATTCTGCAGAAATGTGGTACAAACTATTCAAGTTATTTGTATTATAAACTTTATTTTTTATGCGATATCTTTAATACTATAATGGTAATAGGAAAAAATTCTACAGTAACACATAAATACTAAAGTATCGTACATACCATAATTTATACTGATTATTTTTTTAATATGGTTATATCTCATGGTATGAGGATGGTTTGCATCTAAAATAATGCACATGTTTGTTTGCAGGTATTTCTTTTGAATATTTATTTTTATAGCAAATCTGAAATCACAATACGTAAAATCAAATGTTGGATGAACATCCACACGATGTTTTATACATGACTGAATCATCTAATAGATCAAAATTTGAATTATTTATTGTCGTTATACAATTATTATAGGATGTAGGAATATTTATAGCTTAGGGAAGCCACCCCTAAAAACAAATATGAGGCTAATCCTCTTCATTTATATTTTCCATACAGGAAGGTGGTTGGCTACCTTCTATATCGGGCATACTAATATCACTGTCGTTTTGTGATGCAGATATATTAGGGGTTGAGGTAGTATTTACCAAATTAGATAAAGATGAGTATGTCGCATTATCTAAATTTCTACCTACATTATGGCCTGAATTCCCATCTGTATTATTTACATTATTTATATTATCTTGATTAGTAGTTTCATCTCTTCTGGTGAGAATTCTCTGGGCCGGGGATGCAGATCGATCCCTTTGACCGGCAGGAGATTTACGGCGACTCATATTTAGCATTGATAAAACTTCTTCATAGGTTGGTGGTGGAGTGCGGTTTTGCCGTCTTTCTTCTCTTCTTCTTGAGGATGTGTTTACATTATGTATCTGATCAAACTGTGTTTCTAGATTTTTTTATATATAATTAACAAATTAATAATTTGGTTCTATTTCAAAGACACCTACAGCAAAGGCAGATGAATGTTCGAGATTAATGTAGAACCTTATCTGGTCTCTCCCAAAAATGTGAACGGAATTCCTTAAAGTATCATACTCTGGTTCTAGTTCTACGCCCTGCATGATTTCCTGCCATATATTGGCACATCAACTAACAAGGATCAAGAAAATTATTAGGTTATACAGTATTACAACCTAATTATGGTTTAATCCGTCAATAAGTGCCTCGTAAAAATACTTACAGTGTGATCCCTTACAAGATTTTGAAATTTACTCTTGCATTGATATCCTGTATAGTTGGTACTAAATCTTTCATTAATTATATTTACAATATCATTCCAAAAACTCACCCTACTACTTCTAGGAATATTGTGATACTCGGCATTTCTATTTCTTCTTTTGGTAATTAATAAGCTCAATTGATCGTCAGTCCACATAACTAAGTTTCTAACGCAACTCAACCGCGACTCTACAGCGATACACTCGTTTTTCATAGAATTATATAGAAAAAAAATACTGCAACTCAACCGCGACTCAACAGTGGATTAGTTTATTACCCAACATAACCAAATTAATCATCGGATAATCCTGTAATCACGGTATAACATTCTAAAGAAGTCTGATTTTTGTCTCATCTCAGACCGAGCGATCTAAAATAAAAAATTTTTATATACATACCCACTTTCTTTTTGAATAACTAGGGCAGACATTACGTCTAAAATTTCGTAATCAAAAGGAGAGGTAAGTGGCTAGAATTACATTAAAAATTCATTAAATAGTATGAACCAAGAGATCATCACCCAATCTTCTGTTGCTCTTGATTTTATAGACTTCTTCGATTTTCTTCTTTGGTATGATATGTGATATGTATTACAAAGTAATAGCACTTACGTGCCTGATCGAACATCTGTATTACGCAATCGATTTTATTACTAAACATATCAAAAATTTCTTGGTATTTTTTATTGTATTAATAAAACAATCGGGTCTAAATGGTCATAGCCACATAGTACAAAGTTTTTAATACATGCTGATGATATTGTAAATATAAAAACCTAACTAATGGATTCTACTATAATATGAATATGTCCCGTTACAGGCTTTTTATCAAAATAATCACTAACTTTATCTTGCAATTTCATGTCTTTATATGTTTTGGCCTTGGGATCAGATACTCGAATATTAAAAGAAACATTTTTAAACTCTTCTGGAAAGTGCCACTGAATTTTCGCTTTTACATAATCGATAGATTCTTTTTCGAATATGACAAGACCATACCTAAGATAGTTGGTTGGAAATCCGAAAAATCCATGGATAGGGATAACAAGAAACTCGATATTAAATTGTTTGCCCTTGTTTCCCAAATCCACAAGAGGATCATAATCCTAAGTAATACATTATTAGTAAAGACCAAGTATAAAATATGTGAAAGAGTTTTACTATATTATATACCTACCATTTTTTCCTTTTCTTCTGATATTAATAAAATGAAGGCATGATTTCGCTTATATATATATATGTTTTGAGTTGGGAATTCGTATCTTTGCTATCACATATACATCATTTTGGATCACCAGGTTCGAGATATACAATTCCACGATGGACAATTCTGATATCTATGCATGCTGAAAAAATTAGTAAAGAAATGATTTACAAAGCCATTCTTCACTATTTTGGGAAAGTACTCAAGAAATGGTTCAATCACTACAAAAAACAATCCTAAACATACGGCTCAAGGGTTAGTTAATAATGAGGTTACTGCTGTAAA